ACACCGATCAGCCATACATTATGACCACCCACCATAACCTACTGAGTCATGGACTCCACTAGACCTCTGAAGGTACGTTGTGGTGGCACCCAGCCTTCAGCAGCAGATCCTTCAAGTCCTGTAAATTGGGAGGTGAGGCTTCCATGGATGGGACTTTCCAGCACGGCCCCCAGATGTTCCATTGGATTGAGATCTGGAGAATTTGGAGGCCAAGTGCCAGAGCGAACTATCCTGCTGAAAGAGGCCACCACCATCAGGGAATACCATTTCCATGAAGGGATGGACTTGGTCACCTGCAATGTTCAGGTAGGTGGTACTTGCCAAGTGACATCCACATGAATGGCTGGAGCCAAGGTTTCCCAGCAGAACATCGCCCAAAGCATCACTCGGCCTCCACCGGCTTGTCTTCTTCCCATATTGCACCCTGGTGCCATCTCTTCCCCAGGTAAGTGACGCGCACCCACCCGGCCAATCACATGATGTAAAATGGGATTCATCAGACCAGGCCACCTTCTTCCATGGTTCCGTGGTCCAGTTCTGATGCTCACGTCACCATTGTAGGCACTTGTCTGTGGACATGGGTCAGCATGGGGCCCCCTGACCGGTCTGCAGCTACACAGCCCCATACACAACAAACTGTCATGAACACTTCAGGGACCACATGTTCACTTGCTGCCTAATATATCCCACCCACCTTCAGATGCCATAGTAACCGGATAATCGATGTTATTCCCTGAACCTGTCAGTGGTCATAAAGTTATGGCAGATCGGTGTAAATGGTCTGGGGAGTAGTAGATGCCGGGAAGTGTCTCCCAGCAGGCGGGGAGGGAAAGGGTTGGATGGACTCCTCCGGATCTGGAATTGTACAATGATGACAAATCTCCATCACTAGAGAGGAGCCTCCAGATTATTCATGGCTCCACCAACCTCCATAGAGGGGACAGGAATGGGGATCAGACATGACAGGATATCCCGAATGACTGACCTGTTCTGTGGCTGTGCAGAGATCTGTGATATCCAGACTGTGCAGGTGTGTGACTATCCCAGGTACACACACCTTATAACAGGTGAGACTGGAGCCCCGTCCATCCCCCACACGGTGCCTATTCTATTCATAGGGACCGTCTTATCTGTGACGTGAGGAGCGTATCAAATCCTGGGCATACTGTGTGGTGATAGGGAGCCGAGCCCGGCCTTCCGTCTTCTGCTCCCTATTCACTACTGGTCATTCACTGCCCCTCATCGCTCCCCATTTCCTGCCCCTCATCGCTCCCCATTTCCTGCCCCTCATCGCTCCCCATTTACTGCCCCTCATCGCTCCCTATTCACTACTGGTCATCTTTACTTATTCACTGCCCCTCATCGCTCCTACTAAACTGCCCCTCATCACTCCCACTAAACTGCCCCTCATCGCTCCCCATTTCCTGCCCCTCATTGCTCCACATTCACTGCCCCTCATAGCTCCCCATTTCCTGCCCCTCATTGCTCCCCATTTCCTGCCCCTCATCGCTCCCTATTCACTGCCCCTCATCGCTCCCCATTCACTGCCCCTCATCGCTCCCACTAAACTGCCCCCCATCGCTCCCCATTTCCTGCCCCTCATCACTCCCCAATTACTACCCCTCATCGCTCCCTATTCACTACTGGTCATCTCTACCTATTCACTGCCCCTCATCGCTCCCACTAAACTGCCCCTCATCGCTCCCCATTTCCTGCTTCTCATTCCTCCCCATTTACTGCCCCTCATCGCTCCCCATTTACTGCCCCTCATCGCTCCCTATTCACTGCCCCTCATCGCTCCCTATTCACTACTGGTCATCTCTAGCAATTCACTGCCCCTCATTCCTCCCTATTTACTGCCCCTCATTGCTCCCCACTTATTGCCCCTCATCACTCCCCATTTACTGCCCCTCATCGCTCCCTATTCACTACTGGTAATTTCTACCTATTCACTGCCCCTCATCCCTCCCTATTCACTGCCCCTCATCACTTCCCATTTACTGCCCCTCATCGCTCCCTATTCACTACTGGTCATCTCTAGCTATTCACTGCCCCTCATTCCTCTCTATTCACTGGCCTTCATCACTCCCCATTTCCTGCCCCTCATCGCTCCCCAATTACTGCCCCTCATCCCTCATCACTCCCCATTTCCTGCCGCTCAGTGCTCCCCATTTACTGCCTCTCATCGCTCTCCATTTCCTGCCCCTCATCGCTCCCCATTTACTGCCCCTCATCGCTCCCTATTCACTACTGGTCATCTCTACCTATTCACTGCCCCTCATTCCTCTCTATTTACTGCCTCTCATTGCTCCCCATTTACTGCCCCTCATCGCTCCCTATTCATTGCCCCTCATTCCTCCCCATTTACTGCCTCTCATTGCTCCCCATTTACTGCCCCTCATCGCTCCCTATTCACTGCCCCTCATTCCTCCCCATTTGCTGCTTCTCATTGCTCCCCATTTACTGCCCCTCATCGCTCCCTATTCACTGCCCCTCATTGCTCCCTATTCACTACTGGTCATCTCTTGCTTTTCACTGTCCCCATTTACTGCCCCTCATTGCTCCCCATTTACTGCCCCTCATTGCTCCCCATTTACTGCCCCTCATTGCTCCCTATTCACTGCCAGACATCACTCCTTATTCACTGACCCTCATTCTTCCCTTTTCTCTGCTCATCATCACTCCCTATTCACTGCCCGTTATCACTCCCTATTCACTGCCCGTCATTGGTCCCTATTCACTGCCTGTCATCACTCCGTATTCACTGGCAATCATCACTCCTTATTCACTGCTCATCATTGCTCCCTATTCACTGCCAGTTATTGCTCCCTATTCACTGCCCTTCCGTGCTCCCTACTCACTTCACCTGAGACCAGCCCCTCTACAGACCTTAGGTCAGACCAGCTATAAACCTCAGATTAGCTCCTCTTAAGACCTTAAAACGATACCTACATGGACCATAGATTGGCCCCTCCATAAACCCCACATCAGCTCTTTTATAGACCTCAGCCCTTCTATAGACCCTAGATCAGCCCCTCTGTAGACTCTAGATTGGCCTATCTATAGACCTAAGATTGGCCCCTCTGTGGACCCTAGATCGGCCCCTCCATAGACCCTAAATCGGCCCTTCCATAAACTCAACATCAGCTCTTTTTTAGACCTCAGAGACCTCAAATCAGCCCTTCTGTAGACCTTAGATTGGCCCTTCTATAGACCATAGATCAGTTCCTCTATAGACCCTAGATCAGCCCTTCTATAGACCCAAGATCAGCCCCTCTATAGACCCTAGATCAGCCCCTCTATAGACCCTAGATCAGCCCCTCTATAGACCGTAGATCAGCCCCTCTATAGACCCTAGATCAGCCCCTCTATAGATCCTAGATTGGCCCCTCTGTAGACCCTAGATCAGACCCTCTATGGACCCTTGGTCAGTTCCTCTATAGACCCTAGATCGGCCCCTCTATAGAAACTAGGTCGGCCCCTCTATAGACCCTAGATTGCCCCCTTTGTAGACTTTAGATCTATAGACTCTAGATCGGCCCCTCTAAAAATCTCAGATCACCCTCCTCCACCCTCCAAAACCCAATCAGACCTCAGACCAGTGCAGGAAATGGGAAGCAGGCATACGTAGATTTTCCTAATCTCCTGTACTTGCCGCAGTCAAATCCTGGCATCAGGTGGTGGAATACGAATACCAGCTCCCAGCACCAATCCACAGGACCCCCCCTCCCAGGTTTGGTTCAAATCCCGGGACAGTCCCGTGATTAGTGGGACAGATGGGGGTTATGTAGTCAGCGAACTACTGACAGAGCCAGAAACATGTTAACTAAAACAGAATGCAGCGCTTCCAGCTCATAGTCATTAATCTTACAGTGGATGTGAGTCTGTCGACAAACTTGTCCCATGTAACCCTGGTGGCCATCTTGGGCCAGACAAAGTCTATTTAAGACTCTGACCCTGGTTTTTGGCGTGCTTTATGTGAGTGGCTAGCATGGGGACAGGTAACCCGTCTGTCAGGGACAGCATTAGCGGCAAGGAAAGGTTCCAGTAGAGTGCCGAAAGAGTAGGGACTACATCTACCTTCTCAGGAAGCTCCCCATTGGGTTGGACCGGCCAGGCCGCACTCTGCTCCTCATGACAGATGCTGAACCTGCATCCTGCTATCTCTGTACCGAACTGTTGCAAGCGCCTCGGTCAGGTGGGCCTCCCTGCCAGGCCCAGTTCTACTTTTACTAGTTCTGCAATTCATCATTTTGGGCAAATCGTGACTCTGTGTGCTTTCTACCCACCGTACCACACTGCACCAACCCAACAAACCCAAAGGGTTCAATTTTCTACCAACCACCAATGTATGGGGACACATCTACACTGACCACCAAATTTGAGGAAACCACCACTTTTACTGTCTTCCTTTTTTTCCCTGAAGTTATTATAAATTTCCCAAATATTACGATAGGTTTGTAGGCGGTTAGTAACAAAATTAACTGCCCTTGCATCACATTCTCCAGGCACCCCGCATTAATTATTCTTTTTTAAAAAAACTTTATTCAACACCAATGTACCATGAGCTGTAGGTAGAATCTTTTTAGTAAGGGATCCCCGAGAACCTCAATATACTTTTAGGGGTTCCTCAGGGATAAACAGGTTGAGAACGGTTGGGCCACGTGATCACATGACTGGCTGTATATACTAAGTGCAGTTAGGGAATTCTGTTCTGTATTTGGAAGTGTTTTCTGATAAAGATTCGGGTCGCTGGGACAGTCAAACAGTCTGAGACTTCCGAGAAAAATAACGTTGACCTCTGGGAGAAATAAAGGAACTTCTAGAAAGTTTGGTTTCAGTGTACACACACCACCATGATGTCACCTTGTTTATGGTAATGGTAAAGAAGGAAATGTAAACTCTTATCAGTCATGCAAAGCGGAGAAGGTGATGAGTGTGAGAACTGGAGGTGAACCTAGCCTGGCCGGCTCAGTCCTGACAATCTTCAGGGACACCAGCCGGAGAGGATCTTTTCCCCCAAAATTACTCTGACCTGTGTGTATAGAATCTCACACTTCATGGAATTGTATCACAACCCACCTTGTCAAAGTAAGTAATATACAGTATATATATACACTATATTGCCAAAAGTATTGGTCGGCCGGCCTTTAAACACACATGACCTTTAATGGCCCCCCAGTCTTAGTCCGTAGGGTTCAGTATTGAGTTGGCCCCGCCCTTTCCACACACATGACCTTTAATGGCCTCCCAGTCTTAGTCCGTAGGGTTCAATATTGAGTTGGCCCCGCCCTTTCCACACACATGACCTTTAATGGCCTGCCAGTCTTGTTCTGTAGGGTTCAATATTGAGTTGGCCCCGCCTTTCCCACACACATGACCTTTGATGGCCCCCCAGTCTTAGTCCGTAGGGTTCAATATTGAGTTGGCCCCACCCTTTCCACACACATGACCTTTAATGGCCTGCCAGTCTTGTTCTGTAGGGTTCAATATTGAGTTGGCCCCGCCCTTTCCACGCACATGACCTTTAATGGCCTCCCCAGTCTTAGTCCGTAAGGTTCAGTATTTAGTTGGCCCCGTCCTTTCCACGCACATGACCTTTAATGGCCCCCCAGTCTTAATCAATAGGGTTCAATATTGAGTTGGCCCCGCCCTTTCCACGCACATGACCTTTAATGGCCCCCCAGTCTTAATCCGTAGGGTTCAATATTGAGTTGGCCCCGCCCTTTGCAGCTATAACAGCTTCAACTCTTCTGGGAAGGCCGTCCACAAGGTTTAGGAGGGTGTCTATGGGAAGGTTGGACCATTCTTCCAGAAGCACATTTGTCAGGTCAGGCACTGATGTCGGGGGAGGGGGCCTGGCTCGCAGTCTCCGCTCTAATTCATCCCAAAGGTGTTCTATGGGGTTGAGGTCAGGACTCTGTGCAGGACAGTCAAGTTCCTCCACCCCAGACTGTCTCCTCCATGTCTTTATGGACCTTGCTTTGTGCACTGGTGCGCAGTCATGTTGGAACAGGAAGGGGCCATCCCCAAAACTCTTCCCACAAAGTTGGGAGCATGAAATTGTCCAAAATGTCGCCTTAAGAGTTCCCTTCACTGGAACTAGGTGGCCAAGCCTAACCCCTGAAAAACAACCCCACACCATATTCCCCCCTCCACCAAACTTTACACTTGGCACAATGCAGTCAGGCAAGTACCGTTCTCCTGGCAACCGCCAAACCCAGACACGTCCATCGGATTGCCAGACAGAGAAGCGTGATTGATCACTCCAGAGAACACTTCTCCACCACTCTAGAGTCCAGTGGCGGCGTGCTTTACACCACGGCATCCGACGCTTTGCATTGCCCTTGGTGATGGAAGGCTTGGATGCAGCTGCTCGGCCATGGAAACCCATTCCATGATGCTCTCTACGCACTGTTGTTGGGCTCATCTGAAGGCCACACCAAGTTTGGAGGTCTTTAGCTATTGACTCTGCAGACGGTTGGCGACTTCTGCGCACTGTGCGCTTCAGCATGCGCTGACCCCGCTCTGTCATGTGACGTGGCCTACCACTTGGTGGCTGTGTTGCTGTTGTTCCCAGTTGCTTCCACTTTGTTATAATCCCACTAACAGTTGAGCGTGGAATATTTAGTAGCCAGGAAATGTCACGGATGGACTTATTGCACAGGTGACCACCTATCACGGGACCACGCTTGGAGTCACTGAGCTCCTGAGAGCGACCCATTCTTTCACCAATGTTTGTACAAGCCGTCTGCATGCCTAGGGGCTTGATTGTATACACCTGTGTCCATGGAGGGGATTGGAACACTTGAATCACATGATATGGAGGGGATTGGAGCACCTGAATCACATGATTTGGAGGGGATTGGAACACCTGAATCACATGATTGGGAGGGGATTGGAGCACCTAAATCACATGATATGGAGGGGATTGGAACACCTGAATCACATGATTGGGAGGGGATTGGAGCACCTGAATCCAATGATTTGGAGGGGATTGGAACACCTGAATCCAATGATTGGGAGGGTGGGGCCAATACTTTTGGCAATATAGTGTGTATTCATACATGATGACAGTATTAATAAGGCATGATATTTGGTGTCATATGGACCTGACATGAGTGTCATTACCTATGAAAGCAGAATTCCTCCCTGATGGAACTTCTCTCAGTAATCCGGCTTTCAAAAGCCTCAGACCTCCATAATACAGGCATTAATCCTTCATAACCTCCCCCCCCCCCCGGCGTCGGGACCTTTCTATGTCGCCCTGGCGGCTCAGCAGTGATGATGTGACTCTATAAATTTCTTTAGCAGTGTGTGACCGACATTTATCAGAGTGCAGTGAATTATAAAACCGAGCAAATATTTATTCCAACACCTCAGCGCTCCGGCCGAAAGGATGCAGATTGAATATTAACTGGAAGTAACACCTGAGTCTCCTTTCTCTGTGTTGGGGATGAGGTTCAGTTTCCAGATTTGGGTCCTGGGAGAATTTTCGAACGCATCATATGGCCTTTGGACTATGACCAGCCGGCTGAAAAGGGAAAATAAGGGGGCTTTTGGTTAATGACGCCATCACCATAAAAGGATGTTTGAAACTGACCAATGGCATAGGGAGCGATTAGGATCAGTTAGGAAACTACTTTAACCCCTTTGCGCCCAGCGTACGCAAATTAGCGGCCTCACTGGACTGGGTTTTTTTCCTTGGGGCTGCTAATTTGCGTACCTGTCTTTGTGCTGGGAGCGCTCCCAGCACAAAGACCGGGGTGTCGGTGAGAGCCCCGAAACTCCCGATTCCGGGTCACATGATTGCTTTGAAAGGCTCTGATTGGATATCACAGTGATCAGTCACTGTGAAGCTCGCACACCTTGTTTTCTCTCTCTGAATGGATGAGAGAGATACATTATATCTCTCTCTGTACATTCAGAGAGAAGAAAAAAAAAGTGTTTGTAAAATAAATAAATTAAAAAAAAAAAAGGTAATTAAAAAAATAAAATAAATAAATAAAAATACCTAGAACAAGGTCTATAGCCCTCTATGTGATAGCATATTGCCGGTGACAGGTCCTTTTTTTCAATGAGGTTGATCAGGCACGGATCACGATTGATCGGGATGGAGGATCAGTGAATGGATGTTTGCCGAGCTCCCCCTGTTCTACCCATTGTCACCTTCCATGTCCTTCCCAGCTCACAGCTAGGATAGCCCAGCCTGGGATACATGATCGGAGCGGGTGGTATGTTCTGAAGACAATGGAAGTGATCAAGTGGCTTTACAGCCATCCAAATCACTCCATCAGAAAGCCACCAGTTGACTCGACAAGCACATCCACACTCCTGGCTGCTGTGTAAATGTCCTCGCTGCTGGCAATGTAAGCCATTGGTGGCAGTGAAAGAGATAAGACATTCCCCAAAGGGTATTTAAAGGATTTACGCATTTTGAATATTTCCCGTATAAAATACTCCCCCCCCACCGTATAGGGGGATTTTTTTGGGGTACATGTTGTTAATGTTAGAGCTTGCCTTCCCACGCCTTTTTACAGTAATATGCCTATAGAGCAGGGGCGGACTAACCATTCAAGCACTGGGCCCGGGGTCAGTAGGGAGCCCCATGAGATTCCCCTGGTACCTTTCATTGGCTTTTTCATAGGTTTTTTTGGGTGTGGGCGAGGACACAGGGGCCCCATTATCCCCTATTGCCCAGGGGCCCCATGAGTTGTCAGTCCACCCCTGCTATAGAGCCAGCCATACATGGATGGAATCTTGGCTAGTTTAGCAGGGACTGGCCAAAATTTGATCCATCTATGGGCAGCTTGGTTGTACTGAAATAGATTAATCGATCCATTTCAGCACAACGAGCCTCACATGCGATCATTGCCGGTGGCTATAGCCACTAGTAGAAATCATTGTGTCCTCCTGGCAGGAAAGACTTCCCACTGGGAGAACACAATAGCTCCGCAGGAGGGATTCCCCCATCAATGCTGACTGTACTGAGGGAATCAAGCAATTTTTTTTTTTTTAATTCGCATCACCTTTGGCCTGCCTTAGTCCTTAAAATGGCATCCATAGACTTCCATGGTATTCACCTCATTTGTTGAGAATCTGAAACTCAGACACTACAGGCAGATCATTGTTATAATCTTTAATAACCTCCCTTGGTGTCGGAACCTTTCCATGGCACCACCGGTGGTCCACGGTGATGATGTCACTCTATAAAAATGGGTGTGTAGTTCTTCATCGGTGTGACCGGCCTTTATCAGATTGCAGCGAATGGAAATGGCATCCATAGACTTCCATGGGATTCCCCTCTAAGTTCAGGCTTGCCCAATTTCAGACAAGACTCACTGAACCCTTAGAAAGCTGAACCTGTGTCCACCAATAGCGTGATTGTCGTTTATACTTCATAGGGCAGGAAAGAGGAAGCGTTGAGCGGAGAGGGGCACTATGAAATTTAGAACTCCCCCCCCATGCCGCTGACACCTCTCTCTGTAATTCGGTTTCCTTATAAGAAACAACTTTGTTGTTGAGAACCTTCTTCTTTAATAACCTCCCTTGGTGTCAGAGCCTTTCCATGGCACCACCAGTGGTCCACGGTGATGATGTCACTCTATGAAAATGGGTGTGTAGTTCTTCATCGGTGTGACCGGCCTTTATCAGATTGCAGCCAATGGAAATGGCATCCATAGACTTCCATGGGATTCCCCGCTAAGTTCAGGCTTGCCCAATTTCAAACAAGATTCACTGAACCCTTAGAAAGCTGAACCTGTGTCCACCAATAGCGTGATTGTCATTTATACTTCATAGGGCAGGAAAGACGAAGCGCTGAGCGGAGAGAGGCACAATGAAATTTAGAACGACTCCCCCCGTGCCGCCGGCACCTCTCTCTGTAATTCGGTTTCCTTATAAGAAACAACTTCGTTGTTGAGAACCTTCTTCTTTAATAACCTCCCTTGGTGTCAGAGCATTTCCATGGCACTACCAGTGGTCCACGGTGTTGATGTCACCCTATAAAAATGGCCGTGTAGTTCTTCATTGGTGTGAGCGGCCTTTATCAGATTGCAGCAAATGGAAATGGCATCCATAGACTTCCATGGGATTCACCTCTAAA